CTAGATTTTTAAAACCAATTAATATTAGTTATGAATTAGACTTATAAAACTGGATATTTTGCCTAGCCCTACGGTTGACCCATGAAAAGATACATGTTTGTCTCAATGACTGTATTTTATTTCAAAATGAGTATGCATCACTAAGTCAATGTCCAAAGTGTAACGAGTCACAGTACTTGAAGAAAGAATCTACACTTGCGAAGTAATACCCAGATTAAGGCGCCTATTTCATAGTGCAGAAAATGCAAAGTAGATGACTTGACACGCTGAAGGCAGAATTATAAATGGTAAGCTTAGGCATCCAGCATATTCTTCTTAATGAAAAAAATGTGATGATGAATATGAAGACTTTGCTGCAGAAACTGTAACATCCTTATTTCAAAATCCGTACAATGTATATTTTATAATTTATAATTTGATGTAAAATATGAAATTTGTGTATATTGGGTTTTATTATAACTAATAATTGAAATCTTCATTTTTATTTAGTAATTTGTACAAATATTTCCATTTAGATTTGTATAAATGGTACAACAAAATTTTAGATAATATATTAAACATAATCAAAATACAAAATTTAAGAGACTGTACATACATTTCATAAAGAATGTAATAATTTACAAAATATTTATCACAATATCTGAGACCTAAAATAATAATTACATCACCAAATAAGTACATAACATATGCAAAATTACAACTCAAAGCAGTCTCAAGTCAACACCAAACTGAAGATCTAGTCCTATTCATCAACTCCATGCCAACTCACTATCTCTTCAAAATCCTAAGAATCAAGATCATCATCTAATCTCAGATAACGATCACCTGAATCAGCTCTAACCTCTATACCAGTGACATGCTCAAATGTCCATCTGGATGGTCTTTCGAGGTGGTCGTGATCATGATAGGTGAATAGGTACGTGAAAGCCACTGGGGTCCTAACGGTACTTCTGTACATATATACACACAAGGTCTAGTGTATTCTACTCCAAGGGAAATCAAAAGGTATACTATAAGAAAAATTCATCTCTATCATAACAAAAATCCTAGGTTCATCTTCTATAAGTACAATAAATTTTAAATAATTTTCTCTTTGATATTCATTAAATACATAATTTAACCTAAAATATACCAAACTATCTGCTAGTCTAATTCTTCCCTGAGACTTCGTCATATTGGTTTCCTAAAATTATTAGTAAGGATGAACATCTATTCTATCCTTTTTCAAACATTATATCATAAAATCATAAATTATAGTATAAAAGCAACATATTCATTTCAAATTAAATTCACATCTCAAACATGTTCATACATACATCATTCATGATTCACTATCTATTATCTGTTTTCTCATCCCAATAGCACTTCCAGTGCACTGTGATCACAGATATCGATGCCTCCAGTACTTCTTGAGGTCTTACTCAACTAGATAAATAGTCGCTGGTTAGCCCATGCACACGGATATAACATATACAATAATCGGGCTCCTTAGCAAAGGCATAGTCAGGAGTCTAATCAGGAAACAAGTGTGAGGCTATATGACGTATTCGCTCTCAAAAAGAGTGTGTACACATACGCAAATGTCATTCACCATCCTAACTTTTTCCTAGATTTTCATCGTCTCCAGACTCTATACTCGCAGTGTATCTTTATAACTATTCACACTAGATTCCATATATATATATATATCTGACTCTTAGGTCATTCTCAAAGTTATTTTCTTTCTCATTCATAAGATCGTGCTTAGTAAAGTACTTCCAGACTAAGTCCATTCCACGTATACATTCATTGATACAATTTCAACCGTAAATTATTTGATATCATCATCGTTACCTTATATCATTTTATTCAGAGATATTTCATAAAATCACACAAAATCACTCAGCAAGTTCCATATCGAATACTCATTATACAATGCAAGTAAGCATATATCAGTCATTTGGCCCAGAAAATCAATCAATCTAAACAATCAAACAAACATATTTTCATTCATACTCCACACAACAAATATCTCAATCATCTATTCTCATACCAGATTCACATAACAGTGCTCTATGAGCATAAAATAAATATTGTAGGATAACTGTAAAACAGAGCTCTCCTTACCTCAAAGATGAGCTCATAGAGAGATATTGAAAGGGGTTGAGAGTCAACTATAGAGGTTCTTCTGAATACTAAGATATATCCATAAGAAACAAAAATAGGAAAACGATCGAAGAAACTCAAGTTTAATCCGAAGAAACTTACTTAGAGTTGCTTAATTTCAACGTCCAAACTTGGATTCAAAAAGAGATCGGAGTTTCTGAGGCTTTAATCTAAGTAAAAAGAAGAGAGAGTTTAGAGAAACTTAAGAAAGAGACGTGACTTTAGAGTAAATGAAATTTTCCTGCTGGAAATATCTTAAATACCACTTAGCGCCGCGTGCTCTAACTTGCTTGAGTGATGACATCTCGCTTAGCGACGAGCATCTCGTCTGAGCAAGATATGCAGACAGTGGTCTCACCTACTATTTTCTGATATGTTCGCTTGAGCACAATAGTGTCTAGAAAGCATGCTATTTTTCTTGTGGATCCTCGCCTAAGCGACCCATCTCGACTGGGTGAGATCTTCATCTTGCTTGAGCAAGATCACTCTCGCCTGGGTGCGGTGACAGTTGGACAACATTTATCTTATCTCGCTTGAGAAAGAATCATATCGCTTGAGCGAGATAGCCCTACAGTAAAGTATTCTTGCACGGTCAATCTCGCCTGAGCGAGATTTACCTCACCTGAGCGAGTTCTCCTACACCAAAACTCCTCTAAAAATCCTCCAAACTTTCATCTAATTGCATTCTACTACTATTTAATATTAAAGAAAACATAAATCCCTAAAAGTGAAAAGAGGATGTTACAGAAACAAGGAATATACGTTTTGCTTTGGCAACCGATGGAATAAACTCCCATGGCATGCAAAGTAGCACCCATAGTACATGGCCTGTGATTTTGATATTGTATAATTTACCTCCATGGCTTTGCATGAAGCGAAAATATATGATGCTTTTTTATTAATCTCTGGTCCTAAACAACCTGAAAATGACATTAATGTGTACTTGTCTCCTTTAATTGAAGATTTGAAGTTGTTGTGGGAATTTGGCATTGAAGTATATAACGGGTTTAGAGATGAATTTTTTATGTTGAAGGCAATATTATGTGGTACAATTAACAAATTTTCTGCATATGAAAATATATCTGATTATAGTATCAAGGGTCAATGTGCATGTCTAATATGTTTTAAAAAGACAGATTATATCAGACTTGAACATTATCACAAGAATGTTTTCATGGGGCATCGTGGATGGTTGCCATGAAGTCACCCTTTCAGAAATATGAAAAAAACATTTAATGAAAGTTGTGAACATCAACATTGTCCTTATTTAAATAAAGGAGAACAAATATTTGATAAGGTTAAGGACATTAGAACTACTTTTGGAAAACCATTTGCCAAACAAATTTTAACTGGAGGTTGGAAGAAGATGTCAATTTTCTTTCAATTATCCTATTAAAAATCATTACACATAAGACACTTCGTTGATATTATGCATGTTGAAAAAATTATTTTTGAAAGTGTTGTTAGTACATTATTAAACATCATAGGAAAAAAAGATGGGATCAATGCAAGACTTGACTTGGTAAAGATGAGAATATGATCCGATTTAGCACCATTAAAGAAGGGAAAACACACATTTTTACCACCAACCAACAAAATGTATCCTTTCTAAAAATGAGAAACGTACTTTTTGTGAGGCTCTTTATTCAGTTAAGGTTACTGAGTGGTATTCATCAAACATTAAAAGTCTCGTATCATTGAAGGACCTAAAGTTAAAAGGGTTGAAGTCTCATTATTGTCATATCTTAATGGATTATTTGATTCTTGTTGCTATACGGTCTATTCTACCAAAAAAAATTCGTGTTGCAATCACAAAGTCGTATTTTTTTTTTCAAGTCAATATGTAGCAAAGAGATTGATCCTGCAATACTACCAGCTTTGCAAAACCAGATAGTTGAAACTTTATGTGAACTTAAAATGTATCTTTTTACCTTCATTCTTTGATATTATGGTTCATTTGACCGTTCACTTGGTGGAAGAGACAAAATTGTGTGATCCTGCATATATGAGATAGATGCATGTCATTGAAAGATATATGAAGATTTTAAAAGGATATGTTAAGAATAGAAGCCAACCAGATAGGTGTATTGCTGAACGATATTTAATATAAGAAGCTGTTGAATTTTGCAATGAATATTTGTTAAATGTTGAATCAATTGGTCTTCCAAAATCTTGTCACACAGGAAAGACTTTAGGGGAAGGTAGTAGTGATTTTCAGCAAATAGAGATTCCTAGACTATAATGGGGTCAAGCACACTTATATGTTTTACAAAATACTCCTGAAATAGAACCTTTTATCAATATGCACAAATCTATACTGAAGCATAGAAATCCTAACAGAGGTGAGAATTGGATTACAAAAGAACACAATCAAATATTCATTCTATGGCTACAAGAACATGTGGGTGAGCAGTTGGTAGAGAATAACAATTCTGTTATTTAGAAGATTGATGGTTATCAAAAGGTCTTTGTGTTAATACATTTGCTTACACTTCTAACTTAATGAATGGCTTCACCTTTTACACAAAAGAGCATGATGACCAAAACACAATGCAAAATAGTAACGTAACTCATGTTGCTCAATCATTACATATATCTAGTGAAAAGGATAGAAACCCAATTTATGCCAATATATCATATTTTGGGGTAATTGAAAACATATGGGAGTTAGATTAAATTAAGTTTCGAGTAGCAGTGTTTGGATGTAAGTGGATTGACAACAACAATGAAGTTCAAATTGACGACCTAGGCTTTATAAGAGTCGATTTTAAGAAGGTGAGTTATCAAAATAACTAGTTTATCCTTGCATCATAGGCTCAATAAGTGTTTTACGTCCCAGATCCTATTAACAAGTCATGGTAAATTGTCTTCTCTCTAATAAAATCAATGCTTTAACTGATGGCGAATTCATGGAAGAAGAAGTTAATGTAGAGGATGATCCTTTGAGAAGTGTAGAATACATGTCAAATGCAGATACAGTGATATATGATGGAGACTTTTATGCAAGACATGATCATGAAGAGGGTATTTAGTTAAATCTATCATTTCATTCCATAAAAAGCCATAAGAAACTTAGTAAGGTTCTTAAAAAAAGAAAAATGTGCATTTATAAATTTGAATTTAATAGTTTTTCTGTTTATGAATGTCATATATCACTTTGTATGTAATTATTTGTTGCTAATAATGTATGATCTTGCAGAGATAACCTTAGACAAAAGCTTCAAGTAATTACTTGTCAATAAGCACAATGCATGTCTTTTATGCTTATATTTTTAATTTATATCTGTCTCATCACTTATAACATTTTATAGATTAGATGGAATTCAAAAGGGCAACCTATTGACCCTAACAGATCAAAATTTGGACACTTTATCAAATTTGTTACTAGAAGCATTGTGCCAATTAGTTATTCTGATTGGACAAGTGTGTCTGCTAACATTAAGGAACATATATGGGATCAAGTAGAGGTAAATATAAATGCTTTCAATAATTGTATACTGTTATAAAATGATGGAGCATATTTGATATGTGTTTTATGCACAATGTAGCAAACCTTCAATGTGAAAGATGAGCACAAAGATTTTGTACTTTCATTGGCTGGACAAGATCTCCGTGCATTCCATACACAGATGAGGAAATATATTTTGGACAAATATGGAAATTGTCTCTCCCATCCTCGAGAAAAGTATCATAGATTCATCACTGTGACTGATCACTGGATAGAGTTTGTCAACCAAAGCTGCATAGAAGAATTTAAGGTAATTTCTCTTTTATTTCAGGTAATTATTATGTCATTTACAATTATTAACTGATTTGGTGAAATTGTATATTTTTTACAATTCAGAAAGAAAGTGAGGCGGATGCAATAAAAGCTAAAGGAATGTTGTACAGATATATGAGGTCAGTTAAAGTATATGCTCAGTTAGAGCAAGAATTGGTATGTATTATTTTAGTATATGAATTGCACATTTATAGGTATTTTATTATTGTCAACACCCCAATTTTATTTCTAATATCTACTACTTCATGTAGATTGCTTCATCTAGGTCTAATGTGACCTTTGTACCTCAACATGTCCTATGGAAGGCTGCTGGCGTAAACAAATAGTGAGGAAGGAAAACATATTGGAATTCATATGGCGACATTAGTTGAGTGCCTCCAGCATCAACCTTTATACTAGGTAATTGTTTTTCCATTTGTGTAATTATAGGAAGCAAAAATACTTTATGTTCATTTCCTTATTTAATGCATTTCAATTCTTTTTTTGCGCTATAAGATATTTGTGTGAAGCTTACTTGTATGAGACAAATAAGGCAAGTAGATTTTCATTTATATCTTCATATGAAATGGATGAAAAGCTCAATCCAAACCCACATCAACATATAGCTGAAATGTTGAAGCGTCATATGGGTGAAGATCACTTGTTTCTTGCATCTTACAATGTTGGGTAAGTCATTCTTATGAGCATTGATATTTGTTTTATAAAGTTTGTAATCTCAAACATATATTTTTTATATTGGTAGGGAACATTGGGTCCTAATTGCCATCAACACCTCTGATGAGACAATGTATCATATGAATCCTCTATGCAAACCACTAAAGAACAGAACACATATGCAAAACCTATTTAATAAGTAAGCATGCATGCATTTCAATAGTCTATCTTGCAAAAGTGGTTGTTGAAACGTAACTAACTTGATTTATCCACTATTATTAGTGCTCTTGTCACATATTGAGTAGAGAGGCAAGTGCAACCCTCTAGGACAATGATAAATCAAACAAGATGAGTTACTGTACAGGTATATATATGATACAAAAACCCTTTTTACTTTAAACTTATAACATTGTATATAAATCTATGTTAATTCTGGTTTTTATATATTTTTTCCTTCACATAGTGTCCAAAACAATCAAATAATGATGACTGTGCATCTTATGTGTGTCTCTTCATTGGAGATGTTTTACACCATGGCCAAACTACAATTCCATATAATGTAAGAGGATCATTTCTATTTCTTAATGTTAAGTCTTTGCCATTTAGTTTAAATTTAACTTAACTAACTTTGTTGTGTCTTGTTGTTTTGTTTGCAGTATTTTCTAGATTTCTAGATTGCAACATTTCTTGACGAGAGAATTCATCAAGTGCAAAAGGAGTGGTGTGCATATATGTACCATAGATATTTAAAGGACATATTAAGAACAATAAAATCTTAGTGCATTTTTTTCACAACATTTATATTTTTGTAATTTACCTAAGGTAACAAGTGTATAGATTATTTTTTCTCCTAGTGGTTCTTTGTAATTATTTATTACACAAATGCATTTTTGTTGTATTGTTTACTTTGGGACATTCGTATATATATTCCCAATTGCTGATTGGATTTCTAATTTTATTTTGTTGAATGCTTTCATATTCTGCTATGTCAGAAGCTCTGGTTTATACATGTTTATTCTGTTTGCATTGTTTATAAGCAGGAATATTTGTTTATTAGGTATGCTAAAATTTGAAATATGAAAAGTTTTAATAAAAAAATTTCAAAATTTTCCTAAGCTTAGAGAGCGGTTAATGAAAGATCGCTCTTAGAGGTGCACTTTAGAGAGCGGTTCCCGAAAAATCACTCTCAGAAATACACTTTAAAGAGTGGTTATTTGAGAACCGCTCTTAGAAATACACTTATGAGAGCGGTTCCAAAATAACTGCTCGCAGAAGTTGACATTTTAGACCGGTTAAATGTAACTGCTCTCATAAGTTTCACATTAGAGAGCAGTTGGAATAGAACCGCTTTCAGAAGTTTTACATTAGAGAGCTTTAAGTAGGAGTCGTGCTCTCTGTTCTATATCTTTGGAGAGCGGTTGAATTCGCTCTCTATTCTACATTTTTATGTGTTTAAATGGTATTGTGTATTTAAACAGTCTAATAGGGCATTAGATATATTTTTCTTTTAAAAATGTGAAGTTGATTATCTTCTTGTGCAACAAATAGAATTATCTTCTTTCATCTTTCATTGACACTTTTTGAATAAAGTATATCAAGCCTAACTCTGTAAAGTGCTTGCATAACTTGTTTACCTATGTCACTACACTATGGTAATTCCTCTTTATCTTTGACACGATTCTTTTGCATGCTACAACTATGGTAGATTATGATAGAGTTGATGTAAATCAAAATATTGTGTGATGATAATTGCAGACAAGAAGAAATTTAAAAGGAGTGGTGAGGATTCAATCTCTTGTTCAAAAGAGACGAGTAAGGAAGCAAGCTGCAATCTTATTGAGCAAGCATGCAGCCTTGGTTTGAATTATAACTCTAAGTGACTTCCACCAAATACTGCTATGATAAGGCCATTTTTCTAGCAAGGTTTGTCAATATGTTTCTTCCAACTTTATTTAATGTATATATACTTTTTTGTTCTTGTATGTTGTCATAGTCAACCTTCCATCCACACTCGTTAAAATTCTAGCCCTTTATTTTTTTGGTAATATTTTCAATCCTTTGAATCCCTTTATCAAATCTATTTTCGCTTGCTCAATAATTACATAGGTAATTATTCAATTCGAGAATTATTGAGTGCACAGTTTGAGTTGTTGAGTTGTATAACACTTGAGATTTTTAATTTTTGCATGTGAATTAATGTTTTGCTGTCATTAGGGAATTTCCATTTAGATAGTAAGAACACTGAAGTTTTTGTTTAATTTTTGCATGTATGAAATGTGTTGCTTGCAATTATTTTTTTAAGCTTAGTTGAGACTTGAGGATTAACCTTGATGGCACAATAATCTACATAATTTTGCCTTGTCAATATGCATGAAAAAGAATAAACTAAACCAGTGAATACTTTATATTAGGCAATGGAGTGTAGATGTAGTATGCTGAATGTTGTTTCCATCAACTCTCTTCTATACTGTATGTGATTAAGTTTCTTTTGTTTGTCATGAGATGCATTTTACCTTCTTGTTTTAAGATGCTGCAAGCTACATTCTTGTCCAATGTTTGTGGCTAACATGGGAGATCCTTTAAGAAAGTAGAATCATAAGAGAACTACATATTTTATGGCTTACAAGGGAAATTTATTCCATTTGATGAATGTGAATGAAGGATATGGTGATTGGAATCATTTATGCATTTTTCTTTTTCTCTTACTTTACAAAATGTTTGACTCTAACAATATTATAATTTCAGGTAAGAATAATCAAAGAAAGACCCGTCAAAAAGGCATTGATATGATTTAAGATATTGCTGAAAGTGAAAATAAAGAAGTTGGTAGCTACGCACTAATCATCTTTAGTTTTTCAATATGAATTTATTTTCCTATATGAATTGAAAAGATAGTTTCTTGTGATTCCATTACTACAAGAAATTCTAGGAGAACTTTGGTAGGTTCATGAAGTTAGGATGCATTAAGGACAATAACTTGGGTACATGTCTATTATTGTTGTACATGATTTTCCTTAATGTCAACACCAAATGAGCCTGTTTTTGCTCTTGTTATCAGGGTAAGAAAAAGAAAGTCAAAAAGACTAAAATTGAGAAGTATTGGGACTAGGAATTACCAAATGAAACAAAGCCAATATGGGTGAGTTGGAGTTTCGTATACTTTCATGGTGTTGGGATGTTAATGTACTACAATTTGTGTATTATTTAGTTGTGTGCCTCTTTTTCTGCTCTAGCTTTGTTTCTTTTTGCAGATGCAGCACCCAAAGGAAGTCCAAAAGGATGAGTACATGTACAATGAATTTTACAAAAAGACTTTTAATGAGTTCTTAGAACCACTTTCATATACTCACTTCACCGCAGAGGTATGTTGATGATTTTGGCTCTCAGCAGAAGAACATTTCCTTTCAGCAGTTATGAAATTAACTTGGCTTTAAACTGTGTAGGGTGAGGTTGAGTTCAGAAGTATTCTTTATTTTCCAGGGATGGGACCTCTTTAATGAAGAAGTAGTGAACCCTAAAACAAAGAACATATGTCGATATGCATGTGTTCATCTTAGATGATTTTGACGGTGAGTTTGTTGTGGGGTTTAAATTGAAATTTGTCATGTGTATTTTGCAATTTATGATACTGCTATTTATTATTATTATTATTATTATTATTATTATGAATTATGATAGAAGGAAAAATGTCAAGTCTATGCTCCATGTTATAACTTGTAATTAATAGGGAGATAGGTAGGATAACCATTGCACGTCTAGTTAGATCTCTTATTCATGCCTAATTTTATAAAAAAATGGTTTATCCAAATGTGTGACTAGTCTATATTATATCACAAGTCATTATGACTATCACTCAAACCATGTAATTTTATGTTCAAGTTTTCTACTTTTAGTCACTTGCATTGTTGCTAAGAAGGATATTTGCTAATTTGTAGCAATGGTAATGTGACAGTAGTGAAAGATGTCAAAGCAAAAGTGCTCACCCTTTTTTCTTAGTGCTTAAAGAACTCATCTAAAACTAATTTTTCATTCCCAAACCTCCTTGAAAGTGCCTCCTAGGTCTCAAAGGAAGGCTCCCCCCCTCCACTTCGTGCCTTTTACTCAACTTCTAGTTTTGGCCTCGCTATTTCTTATTGCTCCTTGCTTTGACTTAGTGCTTAAGGGACTTGTCAAAAGTCTATCCCCATTGCCGAAACTCATTGGTAAAGATTTCTAGGTTTCAAAGGAAGACCCCCTTTATACTTTTTTGCCAATTGGTGCCTTTTAATTGAACTTCTCCTATTACTCACCCCTTATGCTTAGCACTTAAGGTACTTCTCCTATTCCCTGTTGCTAAACCTCCTTGAAAGTGCCTTCTAGGTCTCAAAAGAAGACTCCCTCTCCACTTCTTCTCTATTTGGTGCCTTTTTGCTTGACTTTCAGTGTTGGTCTCGCCACTTTCCCATTATTCTTCCATTTTGCTTATTACTTCAAGAACTTGTCTAAAACCTATTCCTAACCATCGAATGTTGTTAGAAGTGCCTCCTGGGTCTCAGTGGATGGCGCATAATCTGCACTTTCTTTGCTTGGTGCCTTTTGGCTCGACATCTAGTGCTCGTCTCACCAATTTTCTCATTACTTGCCTTTTTTGCTTAACGCTTATGGAACTTGTTTAAAACTCATTCTACAATACCAAACATCATTGGATGTGTCTCCTAGGTCTAAAAGGAAGGCTCCTCTCTACTTGATACCTTTTGGCTTGACTTTTAGTTTTGGCCTTGCCTATGTCTCATTACTTACTCCTTTATTTTAGTGCTTAAGGGACTTTTATAAAATTCATTACCTACTGTTAAACCTCTTTAGAAGTACCTTTTAGGTCTCAAGGGAAGTCTATACCTCTATTTTTCTCTACTTGGTACCCTTTTGTTTGTCTTATGGTTTCAGTCTTGCCACTTTCCCATTGCTTGTCCTTTTTTCTTAGCACTTAAGAAACTTTTCTAAAACCTATTCCCTACTACCAAACCTCTTGGCAGTGCCTCCTAGGTGTCAAGGAAAGGCTCACCCTCCACATTTTCTCTACTTGGTGTCTTTTGGCTCGACTTCCGATTTTGGTCTTTCCATTTTCTTATTACTCGCCCTTTTTGCGTAGCACTTAAGGATCTTGTTTAAAACCTTATCACCACTGTGAACCTTCTTGGAAATGACTACTAGGTCTCAATGTAAGTTTTCCACTCACTTTTTCTCTACTTGGTGCCTTTTGACTTGACTTTTGTTTTTGATCTCGCCACTTTCCTATTACTAGCCCTTTTTGCTTAGTGCTTAAGAGACTTGTCTAAAACCATTCCCAGTTGCCAAACTTTTGTGGAAGTTCCTCCTAGGTCTCAAAGGAGGACTCTCCCTTCACTTCTTCTTTGCTTGGTGCCTTTTGGCTTGACCATCAGTTTTGGTCTTGCCACTTTCTCATTACTTGCCCCTTTTTGTTAGCGCTTAATGTACTTATCAAAAACCCATTCCTCACTACCAAATATCCTTAGAAGTTCTTCCTAGGTCTCAAAGCAAGATTCCATCTCCGCTTTATGATTGTCTCGACTTCTAATTTTGGTCTCGAGGCTTTCTCATTACTTGTCTCTTTTGTTTAGCACTTAAGGAACTTGTCTAAAACTCATTCCCTACTACTAAACCTCTTGGGAAGTGCCTTATATGCCTCAAAGAAAGACTACCCTCCGTTTCTTCCCTGCTTGGTGTTTTTTGGCTCGATTTTCAAATTTGGTCTCGCCACTTTTTCATTGCTCCCCCTTTTTTGTTTAATGCTTGAGAGACTTGTCTAAAACCCATCCCTCCCTCTCTAACCTCCTTGGAAGTGCCTTATACGTCTCAAAGGAAGGCTCTATCTTCGCTTGGTTCCTTTTTCTTTGATTTTCAATTTTGGTCTCACACTTTCTCATTACTTTCCCCCCTTTTACTTAGTGCTTAAGCGACTTGTCTAAAACCCATCCTCGAAGCCAAACCTCATTGGAAGTGCCTCTTAGGTTTCATAACTCAGGGAAGAAGAGTTTTGCACACATTTCTTAAGCACTATGCAAAAGGGGAGATAAATAGAAAAGTGGCGTGACCAAAATTAAAAGTCAAGCCAAAAGGCATCTGGCAGAGGTTCGGTGACAGAAAATGAGTTTTGCACACGTGCCTTAGTCGCTAAGCAAAAAGGTGAAGAAATGGGAAAGTGACGAGATCAAAATTAAAAAATGAGCCCAAACACACTAGACTGAGAAAAAGCGAAGGAGAATCCTTCTTTTGAGTCTTAAAAGTCATTTTCAAGAAAGTTTGGCGACAAAAAATGATTTTTGCATACATTCCTTAGTTGCTAAGCAAAAGGGAAAAAAAATCATAAAGTGGCAAGACCAAAATTAGAAATTAAGCACAAAGGCACTGGAAAAAGAAAAAATAGAAGAAAATTATTCTTTTGAATCTTAAGAGTCACTTCAAAGGAGGTTCACCGATAGAAGATTTATTTTGTACACATTACCTAATTTCTAAGTAAAATACAACCAAAATAAGAAAGTGACGAGACCAATAAAAATGTATCATGTGAGACATAAAATTAAAAATTTATTTTAAAATTGACATTTGTCATACTAAAAATATACACATACATTTTAACTTTCTCTTGGTTAATTTAATATAAAATTGACTATTAGATTAAAAAGTGAAAAAAAAATTAAAAAATAAAATAATATATATATATATATATAAAACATTATAATTGCATTATTATACTTGTTTAATTTTAATAAGATTTGACACAAATAATCAAATAATGTAGTTATAATTTAGTAATTAAATTGATAAAAAATTTATATAAAATTATTAATATAAACAAGTTGGAAATGCTTTCGATTAATTGGAATGAAAACGGATTGATGCGAGAATGAGACATGGAAAAGAAGCAAAAGCAGGACAATACCGAGGGGAAAAATGACCAAAGAACAAGAACTGGATCCCACCAATGTATTGTTGCTAAAGCAGAGGTGCGACTATGTTATTTTCGTATTGCTATGACAACAACAGGAAAACAAGAGAAAAGAAACACGTTTTGAATTCTTTTAACTAAACCAAATCGGAAGAAGAATCCAGAGATGCCACAGCAGTTAGTCGCGTGTCTTATGTCAATTGATCCTCCCAATATATATACAAGAGATACGAATGATAATATATTATAATAAAATCATTCATGTTTTACACGAGCAAGTTAATATATATATATATATATATGGGGACAATATTTTTTATACTGGTGTAAAGAAATATATATATATAAAATCAGAGAGAGATGATAATATATTATAATAAAATCACTTTATAAAAAATCATCATGTATGAAATCAAATAAAATAATTATCTATTCAATAAAAAATAAAACAAAACATTATTCTATGCATGCTAAATCAATATTTACGTGAATTAAAAGTTTTTAACACGGATTCAAGATTTTGTAATACATTTTTAAATTAACTACACTTTTGTACATCTTATTATCATTAATGAATGGTTTTTAATAATTTTCACTTGAGTTTAATCTCTCAATCTTTAGTCATTATAATTATATTTTTAAAATTACTAAATGAATCTTTCATTAAGATTTTTTACCTAGAACTTTCAAACATTTTAGTTTGAATTGAAATTTCATTAGAACTATTATTTCGCAGGCTAACCTGTAATGCTCAATGAACAGTTAAATTGAATTAAGTGAGGTTAATTTAGTTTCGTACTAATAATTTGTTAGCTCAATGTAGTCCTTTACAGGCTATAGGGGTCAAAAGGGTTGGTTCATTAGGTCACTTTTCGTTTTTGTTTTTTTTGTTGGTTAAAAGTAACCTCATAATTGCATCAATACCATAATATTACTTTAGTTATAACTTATTAGTTTATATTGAGAATTAGTTATATAGATATAAAATTTAGTTATTTGGTTAAAATTAATTACTACCTTTACTTTTATTTATATGTGTAGAAAGAGAGAAACAATTTGTTTCTATGTATTTGTTGATATGAATGTTTAAAATTATATTAATTGATATTTTTTTACTAATGTTTTTTTATTATATTTATATATAATGTTTCAATAGTCCAAGCAACATAAAAAAATTTATTAATAAATAATAAATTAATAAATTTAATAATTAATTTTAAGATCTAAAGAACATAAAGAAATCAAGCTTACGTGGATGGAGTTAAAAAAGCTCAAAAATTATCATGTCTTTAAAATATAAGCCTAAACCCAGTCCGAGGGAGCTTATGCAAAACGTTATATTTTAACAGATTTGTTTGGACCGGCTTATTTTAGCGATTCTAAAAAAATACAAAATATAATATATCATAATTGATGAGGATATTTTTACTTTAGTATAAATTTAAAAAATTTTAAATTTTATTTAATTTTTTTATTTAATTTATATTTAATAATCAATAAAATAATAAATTATAACCTGTTAAATATAAATTAAATAAAAAATTTAAATTTAAATATAAATTAAATAAAAAAATTAAATTTAAATATAAAATTTTTTAAATTTATATTAATATAAAAAATCCTGTCCTATCATAATTTAATCACTTGAAAAAATCTTCCACGTTCAATGCGAGTCTTTTTTCAAAGGGACATTATCAATCATACCTACTTTTGACTATGAATATAAAATAATAATAATAATAAAACAACAACTCTCCAATAAATCATTGTTTTCCTTTGAACCAATTTTGGCTTGAATTGAAAGTTTTTAACACGAAATTTAACATTTTGTTATAATTTTTTAAATTAATTAAGCTTTTGTTCCTTTTATTATCATTAATAGATTATTTTTACATAAAATTCCCTCAATTTTTAATTATTATAGTCAAAATTTAAAATTATTAATTAATAAAATTACCTTTTTCCATTAATTAAATATTCTCTGCCTAAAAATTTCAAAATATTTAAGCCTTTTTCTCTTTTTTTTAATTAATATAGTTCAACAGTTTCTTCAAGTTTGTTTTACCTAAATCTATTAAACTATTTAAAAAAATTCACTTAAAATAAATCAAACAAAGCATCATATTTCTGTTAAATTATTTTTAAAATAGTAAATTTCTATTTTTTTTTAATTTCAATTTCTCACCATATATGAAAACGTATTTTAAACTTCATGATTATTTTTTTTATTTCTTAACTTTTTAAATCATTTCTCTTATTCTCGAGGTCTTGGTGAATGCAAAAAATAGAGTTAATAAATTATATGACCAACAATGATAATTTTTTTTTCTAGTATTTTATTTTCCCAACAAGAGTAGATTAAGAGAGAATTCAAATTCTGTTAAAAATATTGCTAGCTAGCAAACAAATATTTTAGTCAAATCTTACGCGATTCACGAGACAATCAATTTTGAATACGTTTTCTTAAAAGTAAAATATTTTAACATTGTTGTTAGTCAGATTAATCATTCACTTGGTTTATTTTTATACAGTCTATTTTCTGATTATGGAGCACCTTTCAGTAGTATTTATTAAAAATTGTTGGGTGGTATGGACATATGCTTCATGTAATCAATTGTTAAAAAAAAAAAATTGACGTCTCAAAGTTAATTCTATGCCGTGTCAATTTTTTAATGTTAAAATTTTTAACTAATAAATATTTATTAAAAAAATAGTTTATTCTTTAATTCTTGTACTAGGAAAACTTAATGCATAAACGCTATAAGCTTCCTCTAATGATAACTTCTATTTATATATAAATATTATAAAGTTTCTTATATTAAACTTGAAGTGAAAAAGAAGGAAAGTGTTTAAAGGATAGAGAAAGAGAGGGAAAAGGAAAGAAGAAGGAGGATTACTATAAAATCAAAATTAAATTGAAAAAAATTAAAGATATAAGATTATACAGTTTCTTTAATCTCATATAAAATCTTTCTGAAAGAAGGATAATTATCATGTGAAGTTTTGGGTGAGTTAGTAAACTAAATAATTTATAAGTAAGTGATCATTTTTAGATTGTGAGATATATTTTAAAATTCATAAATGGTTCAAATCTTCAATAACTTTATAACACTAGTTTTTAAATATTTATCATTTAATCTTCCATAAAAATTAATAATTTCTCTCTAAACCTTCAAAATTTCTTAATTTATATCTTAAAAACTTGTTATCTTTTATCTTCAAAACTTGTCATCTTTTCCAAACTTCATCTATGTGTATCTTGTATTTATGTAGTGCTTTTAAAAAAGTATGGGTCACATGCCCTCATGCAGTTTTAATATATAATTAAAAATAACTTTTAAATCAATAGAATATTAGAATGTAATTTTAGATTTTTAAAGTTCTCCACAAACTCTATATATGAAGTTAATATTTTTAGAATTAAAATTTTCATATCTACTTTTACGGTCTCAATTCGTCATTAGATCTTTTAGATTGTTCAATACAGCACTGTTCTTGATTGAATCCCCTAAGAAGTTGTTGTCAGAATAAGGGCTAGAAGTCTTTTGCATCAAGATAGGCCAATTATGGATTTGAACCTTTGACTACTAAGGTGGGTCGTTCTAAGCCTGGTGCTTTCTTTTCTTTGAAACCAATCATGCCTAATCTATGGGGATTGAGATTCTCTTGGCGTTCAATTATGGATCGACTTGAATCGAGATTGGCAATTAGAACACAATGTTAGGACTATTTATACATATAAACATAAGGTAGATTATTTGTACGAGGAGAAGGAATGGAATAAATTGGTTATGGCATTAAGAATAAATCCACACTTGAGCTAGAACATGTTCAATTCTTCGACTTGAATCGAGATTGGTGCTTAGAATGCAATGGTAGGCCATTTATACAGATAAATTGCTTGTATAAGAAGAAAGAATAGAATAAAATGATTATGATGCTAGCAACAAGTCCACACTTGGGTTAGAACAAATTACTAGAATTTGATGAGCTGGTGGCAAAAGGATAAGGGAGAAGGACAAAAGCAATTAGCTGCTTGAGTCTTAGAAAGAGGGATACAATTTCTGCAATTTTTGCTTACAACCTTCACCTAATTATCATGGTGAGTACTTAGACAGTGGAAAGTAAAATTTGAATGCCCTATAAATACTGAGTAGTTATTTAATAATAGTGGCAGTGAAGCAGGTTAGATAATTATCATTTCATGCCTATAAATACGAGTTCTTTGCATTAAAAATAGGTTGGTTGTTAAACACCGAAAATCCTTCATAATCATCAACACTCCATTCTACTCTAGAGGACAACTGATTTAGAAGCTAAGCGATTGCACAATAGTTGCACTATATGAAAAAGCTAAAAAGATTGATTAGAGTATGTTAACGAATCTCACAAACACACACAAAATTACTTAAATTTAATAATTTCTTATTAGTATTTTATTTTCTTAATCTAACCTTTAAAATGATTATTTAAGTATAATTTTCTTTATTGACAGTGAACTTATGCGGAACATCCATTTTACAATTCTTAAAAATTTTATTTAAATTTTATAAAGGATAAATATTATATTAATAAAATATTATTTTAAGCACGTTAAAATTTAAAATAAATACATAACAAATTTAAAACAAAAATATCATTAAATTACTTCATTTACTAAAATTAAAATAAACAATAAAAATAATTTCAAAAAATAGTCATCAATTTAATAACTCCTTATAAACATTATATTTTGTCAATCCAAAACTTTTAAAATATAGCTTAAGCTAAATCTTCATACTCGATGAAGTGATCCACTTTATAACCTTTGAAAAAATTATTTTAATATGATTAAAAATAAATATTATATTAACAAAATATTTTTAAGTACATTAAAATTCAAAACATCAAATATTTATAAAACAAATTTAAAACAAAAATATCATCAACTCACTCCAATTAATAAAATTATAATAAACGCTCAAAGTAATTTTAAATTTTTAAAATAAATATTTTATTAATTAGTCGCAATTAGTTAACTCTTAAAAAAATTATATTTTCAATCGCGACCACTTCACTCATATTATCATTCTTATTATTATAATATAAGATCAAATATTAATTATATTTAATAAATTTTAATATAAAATAAATTAATAAATTTAATTTTAAAAATATAAATTTTAATTTACAATAAATATTATCTAAATAAATATATTCACTTAAAATATAATCATACATATTGCAAGCAAATCGTGGAGTAGATCGTCGTGAGTTGCTAAAAAAGTTTAAATATATTTAAATATTTAATTATAATGTCCAAATCCTTATTTTATAATTATTTTTTTTAGTATTCTTGCACTTTCCTGTTACGTAAATCTATATATCAAACTATATATTTTCTTATTTTTCTTTTCAAAAATAATATCTTATTTCATTATTCTTTTAATTATTAAAAATTAATATAATAAAATAACATAAATAAATGATTAATAATTAATAACTGTAATACATATTTTATATATAATAAAGGAAGAAACTTCATTATATTAACATGAGTGTTTTATTTAATATATATCTAATAGTTAGTAAAATAGTAAATTATGTTATAAAATAAAGGTAAAATTGTAAAAAAGAATAGAGAGAAAAATATAGAGAAATAGATAAAATCTTAATTTCATTTTACATATCCTCAATACAAATGATACACTTATTTATAGGCCTAAAACTATAATGGAAGGATTGTATTTCTTTGAATGAGAATTAAACAAAACAGTTACAAAATCATAAGTTAATGAATATAGACATTCACTCATATAATAATTCATACATATAATAAATTATATAACACATAACCAATGCATACATGTAGAAATGATACATCATCTCACTCTATATATATGCCGTTTCCATTCTCTCCAAATCACCGCTCGTCTTAAACCATTTTGCTTCAGCCATGGATTTTCGTTGCCTTCTGATGTTTATCACTCTAAGTGTGAGCTTCCACTTCTGCATTTCATCTCGATCATTTTTTATATTGCAAACTGTGAAGCAAGATTTCTTCGTTATCTTTTGTTTTAAACAAATATATCTGCATTATCATTTTTTAACAAGCATTGAAGTTCCCGAACACTGAAGCTGTATATGGATTTATGTATGAAAATGTAGCTCATACTGATGACAGCCCACGGAGCCTTACCTCCTGAACGTTACTGGGAAAGGATGCTTCCAAATACCCCAATACCCAAAGCAATCATAGAGCTTCTAAACCTTGGTTAGTAAGAAATTTAACTATTTATATCGATTACTTTTATGAAATATATATTCATTAACAATAAAAAAATTAAACAGGAGAAATAAATATTGTGACGTAATAATAACATCTGCCTCAAACCTTTTATAATATATGGATGCATGGTATCTTTTTTACTTTTAATTTATTTGAACATAACATTGATATAACGTCTTTGAGATATACAATTTTCAACAATGCTATGTTTTTATTTTTAATATAAATTGTTTCCGTTTTTTTTATTTCTATCGTATTTGAGCACAAATTATTCACTTTTATCACTTATTCTAAAGAAATTGCTCTTCAAATTTTTATTTACTTATATTGTATTTGGAAAAAAAAATAATATTACCATTTTTTGATACATAAAACTTTAAATAATTGTAAAAACTCACATTTGGATAAAAATAATATTTTTCAGATTTATATTTTTTATATTGCATTTGAACACAAGATAATAAAATTAGAACCTTCTAATACTTAATTATTAATTATGATAAATAATCAGATTCAGATAAAAAAATATTTTGAGTACATGCTTATTTTATCTTTTTTTAATTGTATATCAAAACCATATAGTTTTTATTAAAAAAATTAAATAATTCTGAAAACCATATTAAAAGAAAAATTAATTTATTCATCTATTAAAAATTTCTCGCTTTTTAATTACACTTGAAAAAGAAAGATAAAATAAATAAGAAATAAAACAGAAAAGGAAGAGTCATAAACAGTACTATTATAGTAAAAACTATGTAAAGAAACGTAAAAAAAAAAAAAACAAAAATTATGTGGTTTAAATATTTTGAGGGCACGGGAGTAAAATCTCTCTTAATTCAAGTTTTTTTTTTCCTTTAAAAGTGACAGCTTTGAAAGTGAGATAAAGTATCCGTAAAAATTTTATATTAAAAACGTTAAAATATCTTTGTAAAATTTAAAAAAATCTAAAAGTTAATTTTTTAAGATTTTCTTTTTAATGATGTATAAAATAGAGAAAAGAAATAAAAGAGAAAATAATAAATTTAAAAATATGTGTTGTTTAGATGGATATAAAATTGCGAAAAAGAAATGACAAATTTCATCCACTTATTTTGATCAGTGTAAAAAAATATGAAAATTATTTTTTTGTTATAATATTGCTTAATTAACAAAAAATAAATAAATTTTTATAGTACATAAAATTATTTAGTAATTTTAAGAATTTAATTTGATGCATTGTTAACGCAAAAAAAAAAAACTTACACTATTAATGAGAATACACCAGTGATATGAATTTTATATTAATTATTACATAAATCAATTAATTTTATTAATATAAATTTAAAAATACATAATTAAGTGTAAAACATTTTACGCTATCAATATATTTAAATTAAATTCTAATTTTAAACAAAACAAAGTAAAATATAATCCCCTCTCTTAATTCTTTCCCAATTGGAGGGTTATTTTTTTGATCGACTCCACACCTTTTTTTTTTTTTTTTTTTTTTCTATTTCCCTCTTCTACAAAAACACACAAACTTTCGTCCTATTACACTAATTTTCTCTTTCTTTATTTCTTTTTCTTAAATACACCTAAACTTAATATAAGTTACTCATGTTTTTAGTAAAAATAAAATAAAAGAAAAAGAAAAAGTTTACAAAATTTAAAACATAATTAAACAATAAAAATAAAAAATACAAAAATATATTCCACTCTTTAATTAATTTGATAGAAATACTTTAGTTGTCAGATATTTTTACCTTTGAATTCCTTACAGTCATCTGTTTTAGATTTTTAGCAATGAATTGTTAAGTTTATTTTCAGCAATGAATTATTGACGTGATTAATGTAGAATCAATATTATTTATTTATTTTCTGTGAACATGAGGAGAATGTTCATGACATTGTAAAAGAAAGGAAAGTTGGCCTAAAGGGTGTATACATATTGTACTTGTGAGGCCTTAATTTTAATAACATGTTTTGATGAGTAGTGAAATAGAAAAAAAATATAGGAAAACGAAAAATAACATTTTAAAAAATTATATTATTTCGATGAATAAAAATAACAGTGAACGAAGTAAAAAAAAAATCTTTTTACTCATTTATATACGTTAAAAAAGTAAAAAAAATTCTTAAAAATTTAATGATATTAATCATAAAATTAACTCAAATATTAAATTTTTTCTAATAATATATTTAAAAAATTTTAAAAATTATTTTTATCAAATAATTTTTTTGATAATATAATAAATGAAATTCACTTTTCTTTTATGTCAAAGATAGAAATTCACTCTTTTTTTATGATGTCAAAAGATTCTAAAGAGATTCTCTTAAAGGATAAAAATTCACTTTTCTTTCAGGTGTCAAAGATTCTAAAGAGACTCATTCACCAGATGAAGATGAAAATCCACTCTTCTTTTATGGTGTCAAAGATTCTAAGGAGGTCAGCTCACAAGATAGAAATCCACTCTTCTATTATGGTGTCAAAGATTCTAAAGAGGCCAACTGGCAAAATGAAAATCCACTCTTCTTTTATGGTATCAAAGATTCCAAAGAGGGTCTCTCAAATGATGAAAATCTATTTTACATTTATGGTGTCAAAGATTTTAAAGAGGTCAGCTCACACGACATAAATCCACTCTTCTTTTATGGTGTCAAAGATTCTAAAGAGACTCTCTCAAAGGATGGAAATCCACTTTTCTTTTATGGAGAGAAAGGTTCTAAAGAGACTCATTCACAAGATGAAAATCCACTCTTCTTTTATGGTATCAAAGATTCTAGAGAGTCTCTCTTAAAGGATGGAAATCCACTTTTCTTTTATGGTGTTAAAGATTCTAAAGAAGTTAGCTCACAAGATAGAAATTCACTCTTCTTTTATGGTGTCAAAGATTCTAAAGAGGTTCTCTCAAAGGATGAAAATCCACTTTTCTTTTATGGAGTGAAAGGTTTAGAGGCTCATTCACACGGTAAAAATCTACTTTCTTTTTATGGTGTCAAAGATTCTAAAGAGGCTCTCTTAAAGGATGGAAATCCACTTTTCTTTTATGGTATTAAAGACTCTAAAGAAACCAGTTCACAAGATGAAAATCCACTCTTCTTTTATGGTGTCAAAAATTTTAAAGAGGCTCTTTCAAAAGACGAAAATTTACTTTTCTTTTATGGTGTCAAAGATTCTGCAAATACTCATTCACATGTTTTGCATGGGAAGCCAAATGAGGACATAGTTTTCTTTGAAGAAGGCCTACGTCCAGGCACAAAATTAGATGCACACTTTGAAAAGAAAAACTACACAGCCCCATTGTTTCCTCGCCATGTTTCAAAACGCATACCATTCTCATCAGGAAAGAAGAAAGAAATATTGAAAATGCTTTTTAAGCAACCCAAATTTGAGGACGTTAAGATGGTAGAAAATGCTTTTTCTCTTTGTGAAACGCCTGGAGTAACTGGAGAGGAAAAACATTGTGCAACTTCATTAGAATCCGTAGTGGACTTTGTCATTTCTAAGCTTGGTAAGAATGTCAATGTCATTTCTACAGAGGTAGAAAGTGAAACGATGTCCAAAAAATTCTTAGTGAAAGATGGAGTGAAGAAGTTGGCAGATGAAAATGTCATTACTTGTCATCCTTTGGATTACCCATATGTTGTCTATTTTTGCCATCATTTATCCCAAAATACTACTGCACATTTGGTGCCTTTGGAGGGAGAAGATGGGACTAGAGTTAAAGCTGTAGCTTTATGCCACAAAGACACATCAGAATGGAATCCAAACAAGGCAGCATTCAAAGTGCTCAACGTCAAGCCTGGAACTGTTCCAGTGTGTCATATCATCCCCAAGGGCCATCTTCTTTGGTTTTCCAAGTAGATTACTAAAATCTTCCATCTTATTATCCTTAAATAAGTGGGCATTTCCAAATAGAATTTGTTGTTGTATACCAGCCTGCAACGTTCTTCTCTTTTGTTTAAAAGTATGATCTGTGTCAATGTATTGCATATGTATAAAAGTGGTATGCTTTGTGGGTTTTATTTTCAAAACTACCTTGGCTAAACCTAAACATTACTAATATAAAATTTAGTTATACATAGAATACTCTTAATCAACATATATTTAACTATTAAATAAATTCAATTGTTAAACTATCTTCTTATAGCATAGAAAGCCTAAGTATCATAAAAGAGAATGTTAATATTGGGAGGAATATTAGAATAAAAATATTAGAATAAAAAAATTGACAAAAAGTTAAATGACTCAACCAAGAAGAAAATCAAGTGAGAAAACTTGTTATAAAAATGTCCCAGTGTCAATTAATTCATTGATGATGCATGGATTCTTCATTTAGGCTTATTCATAGTACTTTTAAATTTCATTAACTATTTAATACTATCTTATTTAGAAAAAAATTATCATTAATCAATTGTGAAACTATATATATACACATTTTAAAATGAAATATTCAAACATTACACAAACTACTAATTAATTATATTCAAAACACAAACAGGAAGAGATCCATATTTATTTATCTTAGGAGTAAGGTTTGAGTAATTACTCTATTTAATAACTTTATTTTTATAGATATTGAGATTAATTAATTGAGCTATTGATGTAAGAGTTCTTAATTAGTAAATAATTTTATAAAATTTAAAATTTAAAATTATTTCATACTTTATTAAATAACTTTATTTTAACATACAATATTGCGATAAATGTTAGAATAAAAATTTTGATAAGTTAAATGACCAGAGTGAGAAAAGAATCAAGAAAACTTGTGTTAGAAGTGATAAAAATGTCTTAATGTTAATTAATTCATTGATGATGCTTGACTTCTTGATTTTGGCTTATTTGTGGTACATTTAAATTTAATTAACTACTTATTGCTATTATGTTTAGAACATATTGTCATCATTTGTAAAATTATATATTTACTAATTTTAAAATAAAATATCCATACATTACACGAGTTGTTAATTAATTATATTCAAATGACATACACACACGGAAGAGATAATTATATTCAAATAATTTTTAAAATTTTAAATTTTATAAATTATGCCATACTTCATCAAATGTTTTTCTAATTTTAACATACAATATAATTTATAAAAAATATAAACAACTATCAATTATAAAATTAATAGAATAAATTTTATTTAGAATTATTCTTGTCTCTAAGAAAGTGTTAAACCAACTTTGTATAGGTAAAGTTTGTCATGATCTTTTGTTCTTTTGTAAAGGATAATTGACATCCTAAGTTATTGCTTCTAATTCAAATTTATCTATAAGATAATACATATATAGTACAGATAATATAATTTTCAAAAATCAAACTTCAAACATCTCAATAACATAATAACAAAGTTTGAGGACATTTTCATATACATATATATATATACACACACACAACAATTGCTCTGTGTAGAGCTCAAAATATAAATTTGTTTGAATAATAATTACTTGCCTTGATAACTATATCTAAACAGTTTAGATCTATCACTAAAATCAAGACTGACAAGATAATTAAAACTAGAATTTTTCAAAAAATATATCAACTCTGACGTCCCTCAGCCAGACTTTCTAACTTAAAAAGCAAACATATTACCTGTCATATCGGCACACGTACCATCGTACGATCATTGCAAAACACACACACACACCAATATAGACAGAATGATAGGGTGAGCTTATGAAATGATAATCATGGTTATAGAAGTAAATATGAATATAAATATTCATACAGCTCATTATCTCAACATTTTCAGCATACAACATAGCAATGCAGCCCATCTAATGCAAGATGCAACAACTCAATTTCAATTGGTTTCATAACCCTAATAATCTAGAAGGAACCTAAATTTCTCCAGTCTGGGAGCAATCGATCTCGGTACTTGGATGCAGATATATAGCACAGTACACCTCAGCATGTTACCTAATCGATACATGCCTACCCTACCTAAATATGCAACCAGGCTCTAGAATGATGAATATTGGCATGATACAATATATATATATATATATATATATATATATATATATATATATATATATATCCAATCTCAGCAATAAAGCCAAGTAGCACACAACTTTAATCTAGCATTTTAGCATATGGTAAATAATCTCAACACATCTATAGTAGCTTTAGGTATTTACTCAATCAATATCAGCATTTACTAACTAAATTTGGCACATTTTATTATAGTATTTCAAGCATGACCAATTTCACAAGACAACAGAAAATCCCATCACACACATTAGGCATTATTACATTCATCAACAATGGTTAACCCACTTAGCCATGCTTAATCTGGATTCTATCCCAAGGTTTGTTTATATATCAACTCACTTTCAGCTAAAATATGATCCAAACATGGTATTTTTGCAGTTAAAAAATAATAAAGGCTATCTAAGATAAGTTCCCCTTACCTAGAACGAGTTTTCTTAGATTGAAAGCTTCGTGAGTTTCCAATAGAGAAAGAAAAAGTCCAAAGTTCTCAGATCTTATTATTATCATGAACTGCTCTCTAATATTATTAAAGTCATTTATAAATGAACACACTCAAGCATTTCTTCTTCTTAGCTAACAAAGCTGGTCTCTTTCACTGTAAGTTTCTTCATTGCTCTCTTATGTTTTCTTCATCTTTTCTGTTAGCCTGCTCTCTTTGTCTTTTCTCGCTAACAAATTAGTTTTTTTCTCATCTGTAGATACCTCTTCATTCTGTGTTAATTTGCTTTCTTCATCTTCTTTACGCTAATTTTTCCACATTTGTAGGTACTTCTTTCTTCTTCCCTTTATTAACGGTGAATCATCCATTCTCTCTTTCTTTCTTTTTCTCTCTATTAATGTTAAAAATTATCCTATTAATTTGTTCTCTCTTTTTTCTCTGCTTACTTGGGTTTGGTTCATGCAGATGTGAACTGTTTGGTTAACACCAAATATATAAACTCAAGATTCAATTTTGATTTGTGATAAAAATGAAGAAAATTCACAAAGAAATCAGTTCTAAATTTTGATTTAAACGTAATAATAAATTTTTATTTTGCAACAGAAAACTCAAAAAGAAATCAATTTTAAATTTCAGATTTGCGGTCTACATTTATACTTTGGAGAGCAGTTCCACGTGAAACCGCTCTCTAATCTTACACCTATACTTTGAAGGCAGAACCGCTCTCTAATCTTAACATCAAATAGCGCTTGTTTAACCACTCTCTTAAATATAATACATCAGATAGCGCAAGATTTTAGAGCAGTTTTAAACGCTCTCTAATTCAAAATGGAACCGCTCTCAGATTTCCATTTTGGCGTAGTGTCAGCTCAAAACTTCTTAAATACCCCTCAGCTCGCAATTTTTTTGCTACAGTGAGATATACTAGACAATGGAACCTTTCTATTGTCTGTCATTTTTGCTGCAGCGAGAATCTCCTCGCTTCAGCGAGAGTATTAGTTGAGTTAACCTTATCCATTTTTCGCTACAGCAAAACTATCTCACTGCAGTGAGAGGGCTCCAGAAAGCCTCACTTTGGATGACTTGTTCTCACTACAGCGAGATATCCTACAGTTCTGCGTTAACTCAAAACTCACTAAAGTCACACAACATGCATCAGTTTTTTACCCAGCAACCATACAGCTCATATATACATGAATTCAAGTCATTTTATGCCATAATCAATATATAACAATGCATTCAAAATACAAGGACGTCATAATTAATTGGTTACAACATCAATTTTAAAAGTAAATAAGCATACACATAAAGCTGGCCCGACAAATTTAACATATTATGTATGAGGTACAAAAACAAATATATTTGAATGGTGAAATTTCTTTGTATAAACAAGGAGCATTTTGCTTTTGGGTTTCTCGCGAAAGCTCCAAGAACCACACTTTTCCTTTCAAGAAAAGAGGGCTCAGGAGACGCTGCTAGGGTTCTCGCCCTAGGGGATCTACGGTGGTTGCAAGCATTTTTGAGTGCTGGAAGAAGGCTGAATCATTTCAATGAGGGGATTGAGGTTCTTTACCTACTGTCTAGTGGGTTCAGAGGACATGGAGAAGCATGAGATTGAGAAGTGGTCCACAGAAAAGATGGATCCCATGGGATTGAAGCACCAAAAAAGTCAAACGAATGAAGAGGTGTCAAATGAGGCACCGATTTATACATGCAAGAAAAGGAGAACTCTATTGATCCAACAATATGCCAGGTGCTCTTTGTACCCTATTTTTCTAAGTCTTTTTCATATAAAGATAAGGTCTTAGAGTCAAATAAGGTAGATCTAGTTTTAAACGATGAAGAAATTATTAAAACTATATTGGATGATTTGAACATTGTTTCTAAGGTTGCGGATGATACTAAGATTAATGATAAAATTCAAAATTTGTGTCCTGACTTAAAGATTCCCTTAGAAGACTACGAAGAGTGGTGTGCTCCAAAATTTACCCTTATAGTTAAGCTATTAGGAAAATCAATTAGTTTCAGTTTTTTAAACCAGAAATTAAGTAATATTTGGGGGTAAACATGGGTCCCTAAAAATTCTTGATCAGAATAGTAATTTTTTCCTTATTAAGTTTGAGAGTATAGAGGATTATAAACATACCCTCTTTGAAGGGACCTGGTTTATTTTAGATCATTATATATTAGTACAGAGGTAGATACCCCTGTTTAAACCTCAAGACAACCTTAGAAAGATAGCAGTTTGTATAAGAATTCATGATCTTTCCCTTGAACTCTACAATAACAAATTTTTGTGGCAGGTGGAGAATTGTCTAGGGTGAATGCTGAAGATTGATCCCAACCTCTTTATTAGCTAGGGATAAATTTGCTAGGATCTTTATAGAAATAGACTTAAAGAATAAACTGGTTCCAGCTTTTAAGGTGCTAGGACAATAATTTAAAGTAGGGTATGAATGGTTGCGTCTCATTTATTTAAACTGTGGTAAGTATGGGCACAAACAGGAGCAATTTAGTGAAAACTTTAGGTTTACTAAGACTAATTTAGAGGTATAAGAAAATAAAACTAGCTATTCGGGAGAAAATGAAAGTCACATAGTTAGTAGTTCTAAAGCTGGTAATGATATGATGATGCTTGATAACGATAACATAACATATAAAGAAAAGGATCAGTTTGGTTCTTAGATGCTTGCAAATAAACCATTTAGGAAAAATTAAGTTCTTCTCCTCTTGTTGGATCCTCCATGAACCACGCTAAGAAATAAAAGATCCATCTAGGGTCTAGATTTGAAATTCTTAATAATTCAAAGCAGAACATGAATGAAAACTTAGGAACTGCCATCCCTAAAAGGATACTAAGCCTCTAAATAAGAATGTTGTTTATCCTAAGAACCCTGTCACTCATAGGCCAAGCTCTAAAATACCTAATGGTTCCAAGGTGAGTGAACCTATTAAAAAATCTACCAAAACTCGTTCTGCACCTAAAATTGGTTAAGGAGATACTGAGAAAGAAAGTCTTCTTTCCCAAGATAATGCAATTGTCATACTCTGAACAAATAAACACTAAAAGTCTTGAAAATCATGAAATATAGGACACTCTTTTATTAATGAAACACTTTCAAAACATAATTCAAAGTGACCTTAATCTACGTCATTCTATCCAGGATTTGGTAGGCCTTAATTTTAGAATTTTATGGAGAAATCAAGGCTTTCTAGGACACAATCCTAATGATAAACCTCGTGATGGACCTTTTTTAATGGAGATTGATAATTCAAAAAAATACTAACCAGAAGGATACATGCTGTTGTGGTATCAAATAAAGGTGTAAGTATAGGCCAGCATCTTAAGGATGCTAATAATAATGATCACTAGTGATATAGATTGCCTTTTTTGGAATTGTAGGGGGTTTGGGAGTAAGACCTTAGCTTCCACAGAATGATAAATGGCCTTATTAAAATTCATAATCTTGACTATATTGCTATATTTGAACCAAGAATAAGCTTAATTAAAGCTGACAGGGTTATTAAAGAAATTAATCTGGATGGGGAAGTAAGAGTGGATGATGTTCAATTCTTTGGATGTATATGATGTTGTTGTAATACAAGTAGAGTAAAATTTTGTTTATTAGGAACTAAGAAGTATACTTTTCACAAAAATATTAGTATGGAAAATTAGGATTGGATTTTGTCTGCTCTATATGCTAGCCCTCATGAGAGGCTAAAAGCAGAATGTTGGAATCTTTTATTTAAATTTGGCATAAATGTTAATAAAGCTTTGTGTGCAACTGAGGATTTTAATTCAATTCTTTGTGAAAATAAAAAATTTGGGGGTAGGCCAACCTATATAAAACTTATCTAACAGTTTGTTAATTGTCTTGATACTTCTGGCTTACAAGATTTGGTTTTCAAAGGAGACCTTTTTACTTGGCATAAAGACCAACTGAAGGAAAGAATTGATAGAGTAGTGGTTAGTGACTCCTAGAGGATAAGAATTAGAGATAGGACCAAATCTGTCGTTCATAAAAAAGTCTTTAAATTTATTGCCCCTGGCTGATCCATAGTGATTTTCTCAACCAAGTCAAAAATTTCTGCATTGCCTCTAGAACTTAGACTGAGAATATATCTTCCTTTCAAGAAAATATCTTTGATTGGAATATAAATGTGTTGGTAACATTTTTAATAGGAAAAGGAGAATATTAAATAGAATAAGGAATATTTCTTGTAAATTAGTTGTTAGTAATAATCTTTTTCTTATAAATCTCATGAATTCTCTGTGGAGGGAATACTCGAAATTTTTTAATCATGAAGAAACCTACTTATTTCACCAATATAAGTCTAACTATCTCAAATTAGGAGATAAGAATACTAGTTTTTATTTTCATAAATCTGTTTTGAATTGTAGACAAAAAAAACTTGATAAAGGCTTTAGGGATGACAGGAATAATTGGATATATGACCCCACTAAGCTTAAATCTTAAGTTGTTGACTATTTTAAGGCTTTTTATTTTGATAATGAGCCTATGGGTTCCCCTCTTCACAATGTCTCTACTTTTCCCAGTTTTAGGAATGATGAGTTAACTCTTTTAAATTCTGATCTTTCATTTGCAGAAGTTAAAGCATCCTTATTTAGTATAGGAAACTTCAAAGCCCCTAACCCAGATGAGATTCATGCCTTATTTTTAAAAAATCAATGGAAATTTTTAGGCCTTTTTATTTTTAAGTTTGTCGTTGATATTTTCGAAAACCCTTTTAACATTGCTACTGTAAATGACACTTCCGTTACTTTTATTCCTAAAAAGAAAAACTCAAAATATGTGAATAATTTTAGACTCATTTCTTTGTGTAATGTAAGTTACAAAATTATAACTAAGTTAATATCTAAGAGAATGAGTGCAGCTATGCCTCTTTTAATCTCAACCAATCAAACCAATTTTATAAAAGGTAGACAAGGGACCGACAATATTTTAGTTCTATTTCTTTAGTAGATTGAATAACAGAAATTGGAACATGATTGTCAAGTTGGATCTAGAGAAAATTTATAATAAGCTTAGATAGAGCTTCATAAAAGATACTATACAAAAATTTGGCAGTTACAAAAATATTTAATTATTTATTAAAATTTATTTGAAGTTACAAAAATATTAGAGAAAATCAGTTAATTTTAAGAAAAAAAATGAGATTGACAGTTTTTTTAATTAATAATAAATTTTAATTAATAAATAAAAATGTATTGTTAATTTTTTTAATTTAATTTAAGTTTCTACCAACTTTATTTATTAGAAAAGAAAGATATAAAATATTTTATGAAAAAAAAAAGTTATTAAAATCTTCTAGAAGATGAGTATCCGGTAATGTCGATACAAACGAGACTTGCTTTTATGATAATAGCAGGAAATGTTGTTCCAAATCAATGCAAATGCCACGCACCGCAAAAGTTACCAATCATTCATCGTACATTATTTGGAGACAATGGATGGACCACCAAAGAATCACATGATAACTTAACCAGAAGGTGTTGCCACTTGCTCACCATGCATGCTTGGTGATCGTAAAACGACCACACCTTTCAGACATTTTGAGTTTTTGATGCATGCAGCATGCCATGTCACTCCTACTTCAAGCCCATGCTTCTCTATATATTCTTCCTTTCTCTTTTCTCAGTATCACCTTCTCATCTCTAACTAGCATTTTGGTTCAGCAATGGATTCCCGTTACCTTCCAATGCTTTTCTTTGTCAATGTAAGCTTCAATCTTCACGTTTCATTCATTTTTTACTTTGAAACGAAGCTTCATTTTTCCATGGCATTCATTGTCCATTCTTTTTAACAAGTATATTTGTGGGATGGTTTTTTGTATGAATATGTAGCTGATGCTGGTGACAGCCCATGCTGCGTTGTCTCCTCAACTTTACTGGAAAATGATGCTTCCAAATACCCCAATGCCGAAATCAATCAAAGAGTTTGTAAAGCATGGTTTGTAATCAAGAAATTAAAGCGTATCTGCTTTGTAAATTTAATGCCGAATAAGAGTTTCTAAATTTTTTTTTTCTAAAATTTATGCAGGAGAATATTTGGGTCACATGCAAAAGGAGACAATTGATGACCAAAATGCTCGTATAATGATGTGGGGCAAGAGTACCGGGAAGCAATTACAGGACAAAGCTCTCTTGCACGATGATACTAAAGAGAGTGAATCACAGAGTGATGCAGCAATTGCTCATCATCCAAAGAAGAGGCCTGAAATGAATCATCAAATAGATGATGTAAAAGTAGACTTAATCTTTTTTGAAGATGGCCTGAGTCCCGGCACAAAAATGGATGCACACTTCAATAAAACAGAATATAGAAAACCATTATTGCCTCGCCAAGTTGCTCAACGTATACCATTCTCTTCAGAAAAGATAAACGAAATACTACAGATATTATCCGTGAAACCCAACTCAGAAATGGCAAATGCTGCAGAGACACAAATTAGGATTTGTGAAGGGCCTCCACGAATTGGAGACGAAAAATTTTGTGCAACTTCACTTGAATCCATGTTGGATTATGTCATTTCTAGGCTGGGGAATAATCTCCGTGCTTTTGCTACTTATGCAGAAAAGGAAGGGAAGCCACAAAAATTCTTAGTGAAAAATGGAGTAAAGACATTAGCAGAGGGAAATGTGATTGCTTGTCATCTTATGGATTACCCATATGCTGTATTTTTTTGTCATCATTTAGAAAAGACCACCACACATTTTATGCCTTTGGAGGGAGAAGATGGGACTAGAGTCCAAGCTGTAGTTGTATGCCACAGAGACACATCATTTTGGGATCCAGATAATATGGAATTACAAGCCCTCAAAGTCAGGCCTGGAGATTGTCCAGTGTGTCATATATTCCCTGAGGTTCATGTTGTGTTTACCAAGTAGATGACTCCAAAGTCCATGTTTCTAGCATCCTTAAATAAGTGGTTCTTTTCCAAACAGCATCTGCTCTGTAATATATTCACCTATTATGTAAAACTATTATCTTATCCCAATGGTGGTCAATGAAGAAATGATGTAGCTGTTTTAATGTAATTGAAAGGAATTTTAATTTTATGAAACATCTGTTATCTTTAAGTATAAGTCTATGTTAATTTTTTATGATACATTTATTATTTTTTGGAAGGTACTTTCAAATAAAAGAAAATAAAAATGAAAAATAAATGTTTTTTGAAAAGTATTAAAAATATAGGAAACCTTTCTGAGGTTAATGAAATGGAGTTATTGAAAATAATTCAAAATTAATCGTTGCATACACTTTTGGGTTTTTATTTTTTTAAAATAGAGAAAACCGTAAAAATATATTTATTTATTTTATTTTGAGAATAAAATTAAGAACGTTCGCTTATATTATGTTTTAATATAAGTTTTTAAGTCTATGCTAATTTTTGTGAAACACCTAATTATTTTTTATTATTTTTTGGGAAGGTGTTTTAAAATATAAGAAAAATAAAAAAATAGTTTTTCAAAAGTATTAAAATATATAATGATAAATTTTATCACATTTTATATTTAAATAATGTATATAATGTGGGGTAGGGTGTATATTTATTATGATAAATAGTCATCTATACATTAAATATGTTATGTTACGGAACAATTAAAAAGTTTTTATAAATGGGATAATTATGGATTTTATTTAGATACGCTGATAGATTTTAATTAGTATTTTGTCCTGAAAATATATTAAAATTAAACTGCAAATTATTAGTGATTTTCTACAAACTAGAAAGATATTTAAGTATCAAGAAAATGACTTAAAAATAATAACATTCTGAAATCAATTATGTGTGTAATATATATATATATATATAATGTATCGTAAGTAAATTCTTAAATCATATAATGAAAGCTAACAAATTATGCTGAAAAAAAAGAGACAATAGCAGATTAATTGAAAAGTTTAAGGAACAATTAAAAATTAAACAAAATAACACGCATGCCTTATTAATTACAAACTATAGCTTTTACTTAATTCATCATATACAAAATAAATAACAAAAAAAATATGTGATTTTATTTTTGAATAATATTTTCATATTGTATCGTACATTTAGAGAGATTAGTCAAGAAATTTTAAAAAAAAATTGTATATTTTTAAAAAATTATCTATCAATATTTAATATAATTTGATTAATTTTTTATATGTTTACAATTTTAAAAAATATACTTTTGAAATTTAAATAAATTGATACAGTTTAATTTTAAAAAATAACTATAACAATACATAGACATAATAAATAATGACAAAAAAATAGCGAAATGGAGAGATGAACGTTAACATAGTTCAGAATTTTCTCATCTAACTGACTCATCATCATGATCGTCGCTGTCGTCGTTATTATTATTATTATTAAATACTGATGCCTGCAAGACCCAGTAAGATTCAACTCACCATTTTAGCGTAAAGCTCCAACCCATGAACCAATAGTATTTAGTGGGCCTGTAATTTAGAGAACCCAATGCACATAATCTGACCTCAATTTCACTGTTCCAGAGGCCTGATGCGATCTCTACCTTATTGGATCTTTAAGAATTATTTATTAAAAGAAGAGAAGTAAATAAGTTATCAGATAATGACCAAAGTGAACCGGTTGTATGCAAGTCAAACAATTTTTTCTTACCACGAGGAATGAAAAATAAAAAATACAGTAGCACATTCTTTTTACCACATTTTTAATTATTAATTAAAATTTATTAACTTATAAAATTATAAAAAATTATTAAATTAGAAATAAGAAAGACAATAATGTACATAATTTATCCTAATATCTTCCTCAAATTCAAAATTTTCACATTGTCTAGAGGTTTCAAAAGTATTTAGAGGTCCAAAAATTTATTTTCTAGCTACTGTTTATTTTTAGATCATTTTTCTTTAAACTCTTTTATCAAAGTTTTTAAAAATATATTTAAAATATTTAAATTCAAAATAATTTCAAGAATTACATAATAATAATAATAAAATTAAGTGTTTTAACCTATGAGAACAATTTTCATGATTTTAGAAATTTTTTAAAGTTAAAAATAACATAAAACAATTCTATACTACCCAAAATTGTAAATTTTCCTTAAAAATTTGTGAAAATTCTTATTTATACTTAATTAAAGAAGAAATAATAAATTTTACTTCAATAATACTATAATTAAGCTATAAAAACATGAATCAAAGGTTAAAAATTTAACTCGTCACTTTAAATTGATATTTGCATAAAACAACATAGAATATAAGACAAAAAACACTTAAATTTGCATAAAATGTTCTAAAAATGATTTCAACAATTCTAAAGCATGGAATCACACATATCCATTATAATACCACAAATATATGGGTAGGTGTACTTGTTGAAAAGTAAGAAAAAGAGTTATCAAATTGAATTCCTAGAATATCGTCCAACAATGATTATTTTCAATTAACAAGAATTTTGTGATTTAAATATTTGAACCTAATTAGTGCATAATAACGTGAAATGATGATAAGAAAAAATTAAGCGAAAAGATAATTAAAAAAAATAAGAAAACGACACAATTTCTAATTGAAAAACTATTTGAGATGAACCTAGGACTTTTGGTTTCACCTTTTACACCTTTTTATGTTCACTTTTAATTTAATTTCAATCCTGATTTTTCTATGATTGTTAATCACTCATACTAATACCACTAACAATCAATGGTCATGCAATGTTAGCAATCTTTTCTCTAAGCAATCACTTTCAATAGTCATACAAGGTAAAAAAAAAGGAAAAACATAAAGAGCTTATAAGTTTGTTATTTAATTATAATAAAAAGAAAAAAAATTAAGCTTAGTTCACTTAATTCTGTCTTGTTTTACCATATATATCCATTAACAACATGTGATATGGTTGCCTACAATACAATCAATTATGATATGTTAATAGTTACCAATTCCAAAGATATAAATATAAGTTCAATAGGTCAAGAAAGGAAATTGCAATCGTCATCAAATATAAAGATTGTATAAAACTGCAAAGGATCCATCACAGCCCTAGTTATAGATTTAGTTACTTATAATAAAAGAAATAATAAAAGCAATTGTAAAGAAATTTATAGTCATTCAAAAAGAAAACACAAATTAAAAGAATCACAAGAGAAAAAAGATGAGAAGGGATTTTGTCACATGCTCTCAATCATTTACTTAGACTCCAAAAATATATCATATGTCTTCTTTAATGATCCCACTCCCAAATGACTCCCAAAGTCGTTACAAGTCAAGTAGGCAAAAAGTATATAAGTTAAAAGGTCTCCAAGAGAAAAGATGTTGTCTAGAGAAAATGATGGAAGTGTGTGAGGACTCTTTATATAGGGTATAGAATCCACAAAATATAGTGGTTTTTCCCCCAAGATATATTTTGTCTCTTCAAAGATATGATATATGAAGAGAGGAAGATCATATTTTTTGTTCCCAGATTTAAATTTAATATTCAAATTTGAAATTTGAAATTTGAAATCCAAATTTGAAATTCACTATTTCAAGCCATTAAAAATCTCTAAGTTGGTTGCACAAAAAACAAAGCACAATCATGAATATCCTCCTGCACAATCATGCATGGTCACAAAGAACTCTTAGGCTACCTAATAAGCAAGGTCTTGCTTCCTAATGGGCGTGGCCTTACTTTTTCAACTTTTAACAAAAATACTTTTATAATGCACTAGTAGCCTCTTTATGTTAAAATGCAATAAATAATAAATAAATTAGTGCAGAACCCTCATCAAATAATGGCTAAACATATAAAAATAAGCTATATAAACACTCCAAAATACAGACTTATCAGCAAGCAAAGTCATTAATAAAATTTTGCCTAAACACTTTCTTATAGTTTGTTAGATATTTTATGTTTTTGTTGTTTTTAAAGATTTTCTTAGATTTTCTTTTTCCAAACAATTTTTTTTTTTTAATTTCATATACCAACTAGGATCACAAAATTTTTATCAATTAAAAAGAGTTGAGGGTTTTCCTTGACTCAAAACTAATTAGAAAAAATATCTCTTAATTTATGAACTATACTCAACTCCCTTACTGGATTGAATATGAATGATTGCCTCTTCTCCCTTTCTTGCTATTTGATATGCCTTGGACTCTCTCATTATTCCTTGAAGTCAAATCCCTTATGTGGCAAAAGTGCTCCTAAGAAAATTGGAGTTTTCTACTTAATTGGCTTGGTGGGGTACTAGTGTTTTGTCCACTTTTGTTTGGAATTTTTCAAGTGTTCAGTCATGAAGTGGGTCATGTTTGGTGATGTGGGGTTCCTTTAAGATATTTGACTAAGTGTTCAAAGTTACTTCCTAACTTTCATGTGAAATTGGCTCCAATCTTGCATGAAAATTTTCAAACTTTTCCTTGAATTTGTATTGTGGACCTTAGACTATATAGAGGAGGTATACGATAAGCATCTTTGTTTTTTTTAAAGTGGCCCTCCATTTAACCTCCTTCCATGAGTAAAGTGGCCTTCAAAAGTCTTGTATAAGGTGGAAAATTTTGGCTCTTATGATGTCACTTGGTTTTGTCCTTTTTGCTTACTTAGTTGGCTCTTAATTTGCTTGCTAATCAAATATGGTTTCTCCTCTATAATAAGCATTGGTTAAATTTGGAAAGATTTAGCTTTGGTTAGGCTAATTGGATAAAAATCTCTCATTGACTTAAGTGTCCTTTTCATAGAGTTTTGGTATACCAAGCTTCCTCTCTCATTGGCTTATTCCAATTAGACTCATTTACTAACAATTTTGCTTTCCTTTCAAGCCAAAAGAAATGTTCGAATAGGACGGGTTGTAACATCCTTCCTTTTTATATGAATAATTTACTTTAATAACTTATATAATTAAAAACATGATTAAGAAAATTCGTAGAAAATTATACAACTTTGAATAAT